CAAGAATGGAGAATAAAGTTAGGGAACTCTTCTTCCAACTATACAGAGCACAGATGAAAACACACCTGGATTACAGTGTGCAGTTTTAGTCATCTTATTTATGAAGGGATATACTTGCATTGGAATTAGCTCAGAGAAAGTTCAGTGGGCAAATTCATAGGATGAGGAGCATGTCATGAGGAATGTTGAGCAGGTTGAATCTAAACTTATTGGAGTTTAGAAGGTTGAGAGGGACCTTATTGAAACACACATGCTTCTAAGCAGATTTAACAGAGTAATAGCAGTTTCGATATTTCCCTTTGTCGGGGAGTACAGAACCAGGGACAGTGTTCCAAAATAACGGGTCTCACATTTAAAGTGAAGATGAGAAGGTGTTTCTTTTCTCAGAGGGTCATGAGTGTTTGGAATTCTGTCCCCCAGTGAGCAACTGGGGGCTGGGTCATTGGATACATTCAAGGCTGAGTTCGACAGATTTTTGATTGACAAGGAAATCAAGGGCTATGGAGGAGAAGGTGGCAACATGAAGTCAAGACCACAACCAGGTCAACCATGTTTCTGTCAAATGGTCGACTGGGCTTATAGGGCCGAATGGCCTAATTCTTATGTTCTTTTATTAGTTAAAGCCAATGCTCAAATAAGGTTCCTTGTTTGTGCTGAGGTTGTTGATATCAGAGAATTGAATCATAGTGTTTATAGAACAAAGACAGACCATTTGGCCCATTGTACTTTGGCTAGCTCCCTCTAAGAACTATCTACTCAGATCAATTTCCCTGCCTTTTCACCATATAGTACTAAAAAAATTTAATTTTGCAATATTTATCTACTCACTGTTGTTTCTAGTAGGGTATGCAAGGTCAATAACAGTCATCTACATAAAAAATGTCTGAATCTTCTCCATGTTTGCATTAACATGTCTGGTACAAGGTGTTCATAACTGGACAGGTACAACCTTTTGATCAGGGATTTGCATTGTCATTAGTGTATTATTCTGTTGAATTGGAACGCTGCACATACAGGATTGCTCCTGAGCACAGTGAATCGTTAGTTGTTTTAAGGTGTTGGTCATGGCGTGACAGCAATATTGGAAAAACAGGAAGAAGGAGGTGAATGTCAAATCATTTAGATTCTGTGGTGTGGTTAGCGGAGGACTGTTTATGCTGGGTGGGGACAGGTGGAAGGAGGAAGAGGGAGAGAAAGCTCATGCCCAATACCATGAATGTTTCGTATTCAACTAAGCAGACTGATTGGCAGCTCAGATTACTTCACCATTTGGAGGAAGGCATCTCCAAGAAGATTGTATTTTCTGGTGTGTCATAACGTTCAAAATCTTCTGACTCAGCGATAAGTGCTCTAATAACCGAGCTGTGTTGACATGGCAATAGGCTGCCTAGCTCCTGGATTATAGAAGCTAAACTGAACCAAATTCCAATTCCCCATTGTCATCCAGTGATCTCTAAATGAACTGCATGTGATGAGTAGCAGGTGCAGACAGAATCAGGTTTGAGTCATAGAGTCAGACAACATGGAAACAGACCCATTAGTCCAACTCGTCCATGATGACCAAGTTTCTCGAACTAAACTAGTCCCACTTGCCTTTTTTGGCCCATATCCATCTAAACCTTTCCTATGCATGTTCCTGTCTAAACGTCTTTTAAATGTTGTAACTTTACCTGCATCTACCACTTGCTCTGGCAGTTCATTCCACATACAAACCATCCTCTGTGTGAAAAATTTGTCCCACAGGTCTCTTTTTCCTCTCACCTTAAAACTATGCTCTCTAGTTTTGAATTCCCATATCCTAGGGACAGGAACTTTGCTATTCATCTCATCTCTGCCCCTTATGTTTTTATAAACCTCTATAAGGTCGTCCTTCAACTTGCCATGCACCAGGGAAAAAAGTCCCAGCCTATCCAACTTCTCCTTATAACTCAAATTCTCTAGTCCCAGTAACATTCTTGTAAATCTTTTCTGCATCCTTTCCAATTTAATAATATCCTTCCTATAATAGGGTGACCAGAACTGTAGAGCTGGATGAACACAGCAGGCCAAGCAGCATCATAGGAGCAGGAAGGTTGACGTTTCGGGCCTAGACCTTTCATCAGATGATGCTGCTTGGCCTGCTGTTTTCATCCAGCTCTACACCTTGTTATCTCAGATTTTCCAGCATCTGCAGTTCCTACTATCTCTGACCAGAACTGTATGCAGTACTCCAAAAGTGGCCTAACCGATGTCCTGTACAGCTGCAACATGATGTTCCAACTCCTATACTCAGTGCTCTGACCAATGAAGCCAAGTGTGCCAAATGCCTTCTTCACAACCCTGTCTACCTGTGACATAACTTTCAAAAAACTATGCACCTACACCCCTAGGCCTCTCTGTTTAACAACCCTCCCCAGTTGGTTGATATTCACTGGGCATGTTCAGGAAGCTTTCAATTGGAGATCCAAGTTGATTGAAATCTTGTGTGTCAACTGCATTCAGTTAACAGCATACCTTCCTCAGTCGGGATGTTCCAGGTTCAAATCTCCCTCTCAGACTTGAGCACCAAAATCACTGCTGACACCCCAGTCCAGGACTCAGACTGCAGCACTGGCAGAGGTATTGCATTCTGGATGAGATATTAAGCTGGGGTCTCATCTGCTCTCTCAGATGGATGTGAACGATCATCCCATGGCACTACTTTGAAGAAGAGCAGATGAGTTATGGTCAATATTTGCCCCTCGACCATTATCACTTTGGGAGAGTGCTGTGGGCAAATTGATGCCATTTTTCTGACATTACAATGGTGGTCACACTTGAAAAGTACTTTACTGACTGTAGAACGCTGGTTGTGAAAGATGCTACATAAATGCAACTTTTTCCTTTTGTTCTTTGGGGGCAGATCTGAAGCTGCTCATTGCCGGGAAGAAAACGCCATCATTTTTAATCATGGTCAGCATTGATGTCTGATAGTCACATCCTGTGCATTATGGTCAACTCTGAATTAAAGTTCTTTGAACAATCTTTGCCTTCTGAACTATAAAAATTGTTATATGTCAGATGCCAGTTCATGGCAAGAGTCTAACTTTGGAAGTTTAGTTGGCTGTTGTGAGGCTCCAAAACTTTTAGTAAAACCTTTGATTTGACCGTGGATTAATACTCTGAGCTGTCTACATTATTCAGATGCTTGTATCTGCGAGAAGGATTGAAGTCTTGAGAGTGGGAGTGGATAGATCTGCGCTAAGATTATAGATATTCATCAATCTCTGTTATAAGATGACTTCTGTATGTAACATATTTCTCTAAGGGATAAACAATGGTTATTGACAATTTCCAAATGCACCCTGATTATGCTCCAAGTGTCTCCAAATCAGAACAGCAGCTGTGCAATGTCAACTTCAGTCACATCTTGTGCTTTTCTTCAGTATAAGAGATGGCGGCAAAGTGGTGGAAGATCTGAAAAGCTTAGAAATAGGGAGGTAAGGAAGATCTCAATAATGCAAGTGAGATGATAGTTAGGAGACAGAAGGAGCATCATAGTTCAGAGACAGAGAAGCAACAGGGGAGAGGGCAAAGTATGGATGAAAATGATTGAATAAAGACAGAGAGATTTGTATTTCTATGACTGCTCTTCTGAGGTAGACAAGCCCAAAGTGCTTTGCAATGAAATATTGTTTTTTTCAATTCAATCACAGATTGAAGGTGTCACTCCCTAATCGTCCAGAGTATTACAGTCGGTCTGGAGTCACATGTTAGGGCAGGATGGCTGTTTCCTGAATGATGTGAGTGAGTCAGATGAGTTTCTACAATGTTCATTAGTCTCTTAATTTGAGATTTTAATTGAACCCAAATTTCACCATCTCCTGCAGCATGATTTGAACACAGGCTCCCAGAACATTACTTGGGTTTCTAGATTAATAGTCTAGCAATATTACCATTAAGCCATCACCTCCCAGGAATTGCTGATTTAATCTGAGCAGCTCTTGAGGCACTGTAGGACAGTCCCCACCTCTAGGTTGGAGTCTGGGACTTGCTGGTCATACGAAAGGTGTTCATGATGAGGTTAGATTCATTGTTTCTTTCCTCAGTTTCCCTGCTGATGGGTTTGGGGTGTGGAAGTATGTGAAGATAAACTTTTTTTTAAAGAAAAAGCTATAGTGAAGGAAATTTGGCAGTCAGATTGTGAACAGAAAGAATCCATGAACAGAAGTGGTCAGTTCACCTTCAGTGGGTGTTGGCTGCAGGACATGTATTAGCCCAGGGAAAGCGAGGAAGGTGGTGAGGAGGATAATTTGTGGGGTTTGTGAATAGCCATACTAGTCTGAAAACACTGGATCTCGTCTGATCTCAGAAGCTATACAGACTAAGGCCTGGTTAGTACTTGAAACTAAAACAGAAACTGCTGGAAAATCTCAGCAGATCTGGCAGCATCCACAGAGAGAAATCAGAATTAACGTTTCGGGTTGAGGGACCCTTCCTCAGAACTGAAACTTTAACTCTGATTTCTCTCCACAGATGCGGCCAGACCTTCTGAGCTGGTCCAGCAATTTCTGTTTTTGTTTCTGATTTACAGCATCCGCAGTTTTGTCAGATTTTCCTTGACTTGGATGGGAGACCCCCTGGGAATACCAAGTGCAATAGGCAATAGGCCACTCTCATGGCACGTTGGCAGTGTCCCTACTCCCAGACCAAGTGGACCCTGGTTCAAATCCCACCTGCTGCAGAGGTATGTAATAACATCTCTAAACAGGTTGATTAGGAAAAAAAAAGATTAAAATAGAAAAGATTGTGGACACTGTGGCTGACTCAGTTGGATTTTGACCAGCACAGCAATGTGTAATTTCTCCCGGGAGGGTGTAGGTGGCACAACTGGAGTGTGATTAATTCTGGAGCAGATTTTCTCTCTCTCTCGCCCGGAGCAGGGAGGGAGTGAGTTTCACATGCGGGCGGGACTCAGGGGGCGGTGATATTGACAAGTCTATGAATGACCCCCTTTTAACAAGGAAGCGAGCCGGAGAGAGTCTGCAGGGCAGGAAGGAGCTATCCCCGGGGGTGAGAAAGAGAGAGAGGGAGAGAGGAAGAGGAAAGTGAAGACTCCCCACCCCAGGACAAATGGAAAACCTCCCAAAATATTGGAACTCCGCTGTGACACGGGATGGGCGGATCTTTTTCATAGAGTTGAGTAATTGACAAAGTTTGTCTTTCTGTAAAGTTGAACTCTTTGGTAGAGTCTTGCAGCTTAAATTGTCCTCCTAGTAATTACAACACTGCTGGGATCTCATTGATGTTATTTTTTTTTGTGTGCAGTGATTTAACTCGTTCGACCACCTGGATAGATCCCAGATCAGGACAGGGATTCCGAACCGGTCACAGGCGACATCCAGGTAAGGAATCAGAGAAAGAGCTCTCTCTCAAACTGCAAAATTGTTTTGTTATTGGCCAAACGCTAAGTGTTTATTGTACATTACTGTTTTTTTTGTATAAATTTTGGAATTGTAGATCTGCCTCATGGCTGGGAACAAGCTTTCACTTTTGAAGGTGCAACATATTTCATCAAGTGAGTGGAATTTATTGAATTTTTTTGTTCCTGTTCTGTTTGGTACTGATGGTTTTCACCTGTCCTTTTCTCTCTCTACCTCCACAAATGGTTGTTGCCCCTCAGCACTTCTGTTTACAGGTCATTGGGCACATAGTTGGGGTATCCAAACTCTGCTGCTGGTGGCCCATTCACACATCATATTGACACCCCCCTCTCCAACCCTACATCACTTTGCCAATGCTTCAACTTTGAGAAAAATCCTCATCCCTCCATAGCTTCCCTGTTCCTTTTCTCTGTAATCCCCTGAAGCTTCTAGAAGCCTCCCAATTCTCTGCCTTTTGTCAAATTCTTGCCCCCTGAGCTCCCCAATTGCACTCACTTCACCATTGAAGACTATGCCTTCAGCTGTCTAGGAGCATGGCTGTGAAACTCCGCACCCCCATCACCTCTCTACCCGACCCAAGGCACTCTTTAAGTCTTTCGCTTTTATAGAATCCCTACTGCGCAGGTAGAGGACATTCGGCCCACCGAGACCACACCCAACCCTCTGAAGACCATCCCACCCAGACCCCTAACCCCACATTTACTGTGGCTAACCCATCTAGTCTGCACATCCCTGGGCACTACAGATGATTTACCAAGACCAATCCACCCTAACCTGCACACCTTTGGACTAAGGAAGGAAACCAGAGCACCCAGTAGAAGCCCACACAGACCCACACAGGGGAGAATGTGCAGATTCCACACAGACAGTCACTCGAGACAGGATTCAAACCCAGGTTCTTGTTGCTGTGAGACAGCAGTGCTAACCACTGGGCCACTGTACCACCCAGTGATCTGTGTTGACCGGTGTCGTTGCCATCTGTATTAATATCTCACAGTGGCTCTAATTGTTTCCGTGGCACTCCTGTGAAATCACATGCATTAAATGTGCCACATAGATGTTAAATGGTTATAAGGCACCAACTGCCCATATACATTATTTCAGCTTACGCTGTTAAATGTCGCTTGGCTATGGTACATAGAATAGAAATGAGGAGCAGGACTAGGCCATTATGCCCTTCAAGCCTCCTTGCCAATCAATAGGATCATGACTGATCGTCTAACTCAATGCCAAACTCCCACTTTATCTCCCCATACTGCTTGTTGCCTTTAAAGTCTAGAGGTTAATCTGTGACTGTGGAGGAATCACAACTGCGCCCAATCTACAAGTGGGGCCTTTTTCAAACGAAAGGTCATGGTTTGGAATTGGGGTTGGGGGGATTTGGAATTAAGGCCAGTTATGATATGACATGATTGACAGTGTTGGGGATGTGCCAAAGGATGGGGAGTTGGTTTTAGGATGTGTTTCTGGCTGCATGGGTATTAACATTACCAATATCTTTGAGCCTATCAGGATTGTGATGTAATTTCACAGTCCCTTCTAAATATTTCTAATCAATCTGGTCGGATATGTTGTGAGACACCTCCGGAGCAGGTGTAACTTGAAGCCAGGTCTCACATGACCGCGATGCCTCAAGAGTCCTGCCAGACCCATATTGAGTTACGTGAATGAAACCATTTAGCTGCAGCAATGTTAATGCAGAGCAGGGCAGATTGTTGTGTTTATTGATATTTGAAGACGCAAGAAAAATTTATGAGTTAGTTCCTGCTGCAGACATAAGTGTAATACCTCTCTAAAATATATTCAGTAATACCTGGTAGTTTTCAAAATGAATCTGTAAAGCATTGACAACCAAATATTCATTTGGACACGTTTGAAACGATTGGTCTATATTTGAACTTAAACTACGTTCTTTCTCAATTAGGCATCTGGATTATTGTGTGAAATTTTACATATGTCAGATAAAATGCTTCGTTAAAAATAATTTCAATTCCCATCTCCCCGACAACTTACTTTATAGAGGCTCCTCGTCCTCAAAGTGCCTTAGTTATTACACTGGGACTAAATTCTAGGTCAATGACTAGACTTTATTACCTTGATGATAGAAAATTAAGGGGTAATCTAATCAATGTATTTAAGATCATGAATGGAATGAGTGGAGGAGGTAAGGAGAAATTCTTCCCCATAATGGGAGATTACCGAACAAGGGAATAGAATATTAAATGTGGAGCATGACATTTGGGAATGAAGTTGGGAAACATTTCTTCATAAACGTGGAAATTTGCCACAAAAGGCTGAAGGTTAACGATTAATTTCATATCGCAGATTGAAAGATTTATTTGAGGCTTATTAAAGGTTGTGGAACCTCAAAATACTACTGTGAGTAACTCACCTCCTGACTCCCCAAAGTCTGTCTAACATCTCCAAGGCACAAGTCAGGGGTGTGATGGAGTACTCTCCACTTGTCTGGATGGGTGCAGCTCCAACAACACTCCAGAAGCTTGACATCATCCGGGACAAAACAGCCCATTTGATTAGCACCATCTACAAGATTCACTGCAGAAATTCACAGAAGATCCTCAGACAGCATCTTCCAAAACCCTGACCACTTCCATCAAGAAGGACAAGGGCAGCAGATACATGGGGACACCACCACCTGCAGGTTCCCCTCCAAGTTACTCCCCATCCTGACTTGGAAATATATCACTGTTGCTTCACTGCTGCCGGCACCAAATCTTGAAATCGCTTCCCAACAGCATTGCGGGTCAACTCACAGCAGGTGGACTGCAGCTGTTCAAGAAGGCAGCTCACCACCACCTTCTCAAGGGGCAACTAGGGATGGGGCAATAATTACTGAGAAGGCAGCCCTTGCTCACATCTCACAAATGAATAAAAAAATGACCAGCTCTAACAAGACAGAAGTGAACCATTTCCATCTGACGTTCAATGGCATTATCATAATGGAATTACGCCATCATTAACATCCTGGAGGTTATTATTGATCAGAAACTTAACTGAGTGTAGCTCAAAAAACACTCTAGAAGTTCGAAGCCATCCAAATGAAAGACCCAGTTGCTTCCTGTCATATTCACTCACTCTACCATGGCGCCCAGGACAAGATGCACTGCCGCATCATGTGAAGGTTTCTTCAATAACAAGTTCCAAACTTATAAACACTACCACCTGGAAGGATAAGGGCAGCAGGTATTTGGGTACACCACCTCCTGCAAACACACAGGAACAGGAACAGGAACAGGAACAGGAGGAAGCCATTCAGCCCCTCGATTATGTTCCACCATTCAATAAGATCATGACTCATTTGTGGTGTAACTCCATATGCCAGACTTTCGCCCATATCCTTTAATATCTTTGTTTAGTAAAAATGTATCTGTCTCAGACTTAAAATGAACAATTAATCTAGCATCAGTTGCCATTTGTGGAAGACAGTTCTGAATATCTACCATTCTTTCTGTGTAGAAGTGCTTCCTAATATCTCCTGAACAATCTGGCCCTAATTCTCAGACTATGCCCTCCAGTTCTTAGACGCCTTCCTAGTCACAAACAATCCTGATTTGGAATCATACTGTCATCCTTTCACTGTTGCTGGGTCAAAATCTAGGAATTGCCTCCCTGACATCATTTCGGTGTACCTGCACCAAATGAACTGCATCAATTCAAGAAGGCAACTCATCACCACCTTCTTGAAGGTTATTAGACCTAATATCCAATAAACACTGACTTTTTAACTGATACTCATTTCTTACGAACGACTTAAAAAGAAGGGACAGGTTGATAACCTTCAAACGGAGATCAGCTATCATCTAATTGATTGACAGAACAAGCTTGAGGGCTGAATGGCCTCCTAAACCTATGTTTCTATCTCTCCCTGGTTCTTTGTAGGATTTACTTTCCTATAACTTTGATGTTTTAGCTTCAGCTTGGGTAGACAAGTAGGAGCAGAGCAGACAGTGTCTTGTTAAAAATGTTTCTGTTTAAAATGAGGATGGGCATTAGGAGGTGAAACATGGTTTTACTTTGCATGCACTAGTCATTTTTTTTTAAGGATGCCAAGCCAGTAGCTTTAAAACAATACATGTACTTAATGTGTGATGTTTCTGTTTAAATAAATAAAACAGTTGCAGATCATCTTCTTCAGCCTTTGCATGCTAATCTTTACATTCTGGTCTTTGGTTTATTGCATTAATACACGCACTAAGATCGACAAGAATGCAACATTAGAAGATTGCGAAACTTTGAAACTATGTATAGAATGCAACAGTAAAATTTTGCAATCTCTGAACCAGACAGAGACAGACAGGAGAGAGGGATATTCCTACAATTAACAGATTTAAAAAAAAAAAAATTAGTTATAATTTAGTCGGTCATTACAGAAAAATTCTCATGAACCATTTAATTTGAATTCCTCATCTAAGTGAAGGAGTCTGCCTATATCCAGCACGTTTGTTTGTCTCATCAAAAAACCTCAAAAGGGTTGATCAAGGTAGCTTGTTTGATGTACTCTGAAAAGGTCTTAGCGTGGCTTTTGACCAGGTTCCAAATGGTAGATAGATCAATAAATCAGAAATTCATGAGATCCTGGAGAAAGTGGCAGATTGAATCCAAAACTCCCTCAGTGGCAGAAAGCAAAGTTTATGGTCAGCGTGTGCGTTTGTGAAAGCAAAATACCAGGGATGCTCAAAATCTGAAATAAAATCGGAACATGCTGGAGAAACTCAGCAGATCTGGCAGCATATGTGGAGAGAAAAACAGTGTTAACGTTTTGAGTCCAGTGCGACTCTACTGCTGTTGTAACTGAAAGGTTGTTTCCAGTGAATTCCACAGGATATTAGGTATTGGGTCCCTTACAGTTTGTGAATTTTTTTTTTGTAAATTCACTTGGATGTGGGCAGCACAGGCTAAACCAGCAGTTATTGCCTATCCTTAGTTGCCTCTTAAGGTGGTGGTGTACTGTTTTCCTGAACTGCTGCAGTGCATAATATATAGGTAGGCCCACAATTCCATTAGGGAGGGAATTCCAGAATTTAGACCCCAAGACACTGAAGGAATGGTGATATATTTCCAAATCAGATGGTGAGTGGCTTGGAAGGGAACGTGCAGGGGCTGGTGTCCCCAT